CCTGAGCCCTAGGACTCACAGACACACAGGTTCTTTAAAGCGGCTTCTCCCACGGTTGCCCGCCGCTGCTTCATCTTAGCTGCTGCGCCGGTTCCATCCGACCGCACCTGTTACTCGTTGTCTATTTACCACGTCAGCAGTGGTGTGCGGCATTCACAGACAGTCTTGCCAGTAGTAAAACTTAAAATCACACACATGCATTTTAAACACACCACTCCACTTGCAATAAAAAGTACAGCACAAATACACACTGACAAAACATACGCAACGCTAAAATCATAAGTCAAGGTACATTCTCAACTACTCAACTCAACTACTCTTAGGCCTGACTTTCTCGCAGGTGTCCCTGTACATCTTGACTCCCTGTAGGCCAGGGTTTTCAAAGTCTGAGACTGCTGGCCTTTCCCTCAGACAAGGCTTGGGAATCGGAGACCCCTCACCACATCTTTAGTTTACTTGTTAAGTTTTGCTTAATTCCTGGATGCCTATGGGATCATGAATATTATTTGATCCCATAGACTCTCAACATTTGAGCCAAAATAGCCTGATATTGCTGTTTGACATAACTTCTGACTGCACCAAATAATTTTAAAAAGGTTTGTCCTGAACTCACATGTAGGCTATTCTATGTGATGTCCTTTTGATAACTAATGCAATAGTAATTTAATATTGTTTGACTTTTATTCACTGAGCCTCCACTGAAACAGTTTGGAGCCCCCCTGGGAGGCATACTTCACAATTTGAAAACCCCTGCTGTAGGCTATATGATGTCAGTTTAACTATCATTTCTTAAAGGTACCGATGATAAAACGCTCACTTCATTAAGCTTAGGGCTGAAATGACCTCCTGTTTACAAGCAAAAGATACCCACCCAAAAAAGTTACTGGGTTTCAGTGTAGCGAATGATAGTGTAGGCTACTGTAATCTGCCCTCGAGGTGTTTCTACATGTCATAATGTTTACATACTTGTTTGTTTAGTTTGTGAAGATATGATCTGTAGTCTTTATGTGTTAGTGCTGACAGCTGATGTGCTCATCTGACAGAGAACACAGCAGCAGGCAAAGTACAAGGTACCAGGTAGATTTATTTGTCACCAGTGGTTGTAAGGTGAAATTTAGTTTGTAACTCCCTTCTGCTACGTAGCAGACAAATTGTATTAATATAGAAGCAATATTAAAAATAGTAAACAGAAATAAACTATATTGAATATCAATGGGGCAGTGCTGAGGATGAACTAGAGTTTAAGAGTCTGATAGCTTGGGGGGAAAGCTGCTCTGCAGTCTGGTGGTGTGGAAGCAGAAACTTCTATATCTCTTCCCAGAAGGCAGCAGGGTGAACACTGTCATCACTGTCAGACTTATGGTGCAGATGGGTTTCATTTGCCTTTTTCGTTTCCCTGTCTAATCCAACACTCATATGTTCCAGTGTCGTTGATGTTGATGTTCTTCAGAATCACAAAAACGTCTCCGTCCTTCATCTCTGGATTTCTCAGCTCCGCTGGACCAGATAAGATTCATGCTGGTAGTTTTCATGTAAACGGTTGTCTCTGAAGAAGAAGACGGTACAACACTTCAATGGCAGCACCTCTGTGACTCTGTGACAATGCTAAAGAGTAGCGTCCTCTCCAGCCTTCACCTTCACCTCCTGTGTCTCTGAACAGAAAGAGAAAAGCCTCCAGTCAGGACTTGTAATGTTTCCTGTTGTTCAACATCTTTTGATGGAAGCAGCAGAGATCAGGTCTCTATAAAACAGCACATGTGAACTCAGCAGCATTTCAAACCCTGTTCTCAGACAACTTGAGTCCCAGCTCTCAGCTACTGAGGAAAGAGTCCCTACAGTATGAAACTGCTTTACGTCTCAGAGAGACAAATGAAGCTGCTGGATCTGCATGGACAGACACCACGAGAGGGGAGAGGACACATGTTGGTCTGCTGTCCATCCATCCACACAGTAAACTACAGTGCTGGAGAGGAACAGAGGTCAGAGGTGGAGACTCTGTTCACAAGTCAGCTCATAATAAACTTTAGGAGGTTACAAACATATCTAACAGCTTACAGCTTCAAAATCTAAAGTAGTACATTAATTATTTTAATCAATAAGTTGGGGGGTGGGGTGGGGGTGGGGTACCTTTCTTGATCAGAGTCTCTGGCTTCGTCACCATTATATTTAGTGTCAAATGTGGGACACATTAAGTTTGACAGCACTTTGTCGCTTAATTGTGAAAGATGTGGGCGCATCATCGCACCACCATGGCTGAACACACGTTCAACAGGTGATCCAACGAAGGTTAAAATCAAGGGCAACTGGACTTGGTTGAATATCAAGTTGCCCTTGATTTTAACCTTCGTTGGATGACTATGACCTGGATGACTGAGAATCTTCATAGACGTTCAACAGGAGCACTTGATGCAGGGACTGCCATAACTCTAACCGCCACCTTAAATAAAGAGGGCCTGTTCATGGCCCAATACCGTCAGAACAGTGGTTCAGCTGAATCTGGGGACTGGAATATGAGTCTCAGGAACAGTAGTCACAACATGGACTACAACATGGTGTTGAATACTGCATAACACATAAACAACTATGTCATAATGTCAACCTATGTTACTGAAAAGTTATTTTGTTGCCTATTTCTTCAATGGTATGGCATTAATTTGGAGAGAGAGAGAAAAAGAGAGGGATGGAAGGAGAGAGAGGGGAAGAGAAAGGGAGAAAGTAGAGGAGAGAGAGCTCAGTGCATCATGGGAAATCCCCAGCAGTCTAGGCCTATAGCAGCATAACTAAGGGATGGTTCAGGACTACCTGAGCCAGCCCTAACTATAAGCTTTATCAAAGAGGAAAGTCTTAAGCCTACTCTTAAATGTGGAGATGGTGTCTGCCTCCTGAACCCAAACTGGAACCTGGTTCCACAGGAGAGGAGCTTGATAGCTGAACGCTCTGGCTCCTAGTCTACTTTTGGAGACTCTAGGAACCACAAGTAACCCTGCATTCTGGGAGCGCAGTGCTCTGGTGGGGTAGTAAGGTACTATGAGCTCTTTAAGATAAGATGGTGCCTGACCATTAAGAGCTTTGTAGGTAAGAAGAATGATTTTAAATTCTATTCTGGATTTTACTGGAAGCCAATGCAAAGACTAGACAGGAGAAATATGATCTCTTTTCCTGGTTCCTGTCAGAACACGTGCTGCAGCACAAATATACTTGTGTTTGGCCTTAAACAACCACACATTTGCAGGAAGCAACTTAAGTTCCCCCTGCACGTTTGTTCTTTGTTTGACCATATGTACTCACACTCCCCCCAAGGCAGATATATGCTGCCTTGTCGAAAAATGCTACCATAGCGCAAATGCGATAGCAGCTGCTCAGAATCAGAAGGAGCTTAATTGCCAAGAAGTGTATTACACACACGAAAACTTTGTTGATGAGGCGCTACATACAAACATACAGTTGACATAAATAAATGTAGAAATATATAAATATGGAATAGCCAATGCAAGTTATTTAAGAATATTAAAAAGAATAGAGAAAAATAATACATCGCACATATTTACATGTGCATTATTCTGTGTTTGTGTTGTGCAGATGTATTGCAATGAAATATATAAATTGACAATATAAAAATACAACAACAAAGATTAACAATTAGCAACAAATATGTGCAATGTGCCAGGTACATGATATGAAATGAATAATATTTATATGTGCAGAGACATTGTATTATTTGCAATGGGGGAGTGTCAGTGAGTTGTTGATGAGGCTAGCTGCAGATGGGAAGAAGCTGTTTTTGTGGCGAGAGGTTTTGGTCCTGATGGACTCCTCCTCCTGCCAGAGGGGAGAGTCTGAAACAGTTTGTGTCCAGGTTGGGAGGGGTCAGCTGCAATCTTTCCTGCTCGCCTCAGAGTCCTCGAAGCGTACAGGTCCAGAAGAGAAGGAAGATTGCAGCCAATCACCTTCTCTGCAGAGCGAATGATATGCTGCAGCCTGCCCTTGTCCCTGGCAGTGGCAGCAGCGTACCAGATGGTGATGGAAGAGGTGAGGATGGACTCTTGGCAGGCTGAACTTCTTCAGCTGCCGCAGGAAATACATCCTGCGCTGGGCCTTCTTGGTTATGGAGGTGATGCAGGAAGCACAAGGAGTCCACAGTGGCGACGGGGGAGGGTGGGGCTGTGCTCTTCCTAAAATGCATAACCATCTCCACTATCTTCAGAGCACTGAGCTCCAAGAGAGACCGGTCTGGCTTCACTCGGTCCCACTAATCTCCCACCTGTAGGCGGACTCATCCCCACCTGAGATGAGCCCAATGAGGTTGGTGTTGTCCACAAACTTCAGGAGCTTGATGGACTGGTGACTGGAGGTGCAGGTGTTGGTGTACAGGAAGAAAGCAGAGGGGGAAAAAATGCAGCCTTGAGGTGAACGGTTCTGATGGTCCTGGAATCAGAGACATGTTTTCCCAGCTTCGTGTGCTGCTTCCTGTCTTTCAGGAAGTCTGATCCACCTGCATGTGGAGTCAGGCACGTTCAGCTGAGAGAGCTTGTCCTGCAGCAGGGCTGGGATGATGGTGTTAAAAGCAGAGCTGAAATCCACAAACAGGATCTTGGCGTAGGTGCCTGGGGAGTCCAGGCACTGGAGGATGTAGTGACGGGCCATGTTTACTGCATCGTCTACAGACCTGTTGGCTCTAGGCGAACTGTAGGGGGTCCAGGAGTGGGTCTGTTATAGATTTTAGGTGGGACAACACAAGGCGTTCAAAGGACTTAATAACCACAGAGGTCAGGGCGACGGGTCTGTAGCCATTTAGTCCAGTGGTTCCTGGTTTTTGAGGGACAGGGATGATGGTGGAGGCTTTGAAGTGAAGCAGGCTGGCAAATGGCATGTCTCCAGTAAGGTGTAAAAAATGTCTGTGAACACCGGAGACAGCTGATCAGCACAGTGCTTCAGGGTGGACAGAGTCCGGCCCATTCTGCCTCCTAAATAACTCGTTTACTTCCCTCTCTGTGACCAGCTGAGCAAAGCACCTGCAAGACTGATGCCCCATTCTCTATAAAGAAGCGAGGACTCCAATGCTCTGATGGCATGTGGTAGCTCGTTGAGAACAGCCCGGACTGGGATCGCTTGGTGTGAAGGGATGGCAGAGCAAGGTGGCATCTGTTGGAGGAGCATAGCTGAGAAGGAACGTAGGCTTGTAGTAATAGCTCTGTATGCAAGCATTAGTGACTTGAATTTGATTCAGGAGGCCATGGGAAAACAATAGAGGTCGCCGAATGATGGAGTGAAATGAGTCCTTTGGGGTTGATCCAAAACCAGACGCGCTGCTGCATTCTGACCATTTGTAGGGATTTCACTGCACAAGCTGGAAGACCTGCTAGGAGGGCCTTGCAGTAGTCGAGACGAGAGATAACCATGGTCTGTACTAGAGGCTGGGTGGCGTACTGAGTGAGGTAGGGCCTGATTTTCCTTATGTTATATAGAGAAAAGCGGCACGACTGACAGACAACAGCAACATGGTCTGAAAAGGACAGTTGGTCATCAATCATAACACCCAAGTTTCTCACCACCCTGGTTGGAGTGATGGTTGCGGAGTCATTTTGTAGTTTGATGTTATGGTGGATAGATTACTTGGCTGGAATGACAAAGAGTTCAGTCTTAGAGAGGTTTAGTTGAAGGTGGCAAGCCTTCATCCATGCAGGTATGACTGAGAGACAGTCTGTGATCAGCACCGAGATGGCTTCACTCACAGACAAAGAGCCGTTTCAGTAGAGGGGCCACTCTTAAAACCAGACTGATATGGATCTAGGATGTCAATACATGAGAGGAATTCTGAGAGCTGTTTAAAGACTGCCCGTTCGATAGCTTTGGATAAAATTGGTATAAGTGAAACTGGCCGATAGTTCTCAACTTCAGTTGGGTTGAGGGAGGGCTTTTTGAGTAGGGGTGTAAGGTGACCCCTTGTGAAAGCGGTCAGGAAGGTTCCCGAAGCCACAGGAAGATTTATCACATGAATGATTGCCGGCACCACGGTAGGAGATGTGGCTTGGAGGAGATTCGTAGGAATTGGGTCCATTGGGCATGTAGTGGGACGGCTACAGATAAAGAGTTCTGATACCTCGCTTTCCATGAGAGGAGTAAACAAGGAGGGTGACATGCCATTGACCTGGGAAGACAGAAGAAGAGATGTAGAAGGACTGCTACATGTACTGTATGTATAAGGATATAGACATTGCAGCGTATGAGATGTAAATGTTTGCTATCTTCTGATGTATTTGTATAAGTGGTTTTACTTTTAGTGTTTAATGTGCTAATTAAAATTTTTATTGTAGTGTATTTTAATTATATTCTTTTTGTAAAGCACTTTTATTGAAATCACTCTATCTATAGTGGCTATTTGTCCATAAACTTAAACAAAAACAAATAATAACAAACTTCTCAAATGGCCACTTGAGGCTACGTCATGGTTAGGCTTTACGCAGGTTCAGAGGTACCAAAGCAAAGTGATGTCCATAACAAGATTGAGTTTGAGGAGGTTTATTCACACACATAAGCAAGCTCACAGACATTTCTGCTGCCTCTCTCACGCTGGTAAAAAACCATATGCCCTCGTTGATTTTGAGTGATTTAGAAAATTGGCTAGTTATAGTTGCCACTTTGCCTGCCGGCC